TTAAATAATAATCATGTATACTTAATAAATAATGACATTTAATATTGATAAAGTATAAAATATAATAATAAATTTTAGTTTTTATATTTAATATATTACAATCAATCAAATTGATCGATATCATTGCGATAAATTTGATCAGCATCGTTGCGGTAAATTTGATCGACATGTTTATCAATTTAATTGGTTAATTTATTAGTATCCCAGTATTAATCAAAAATTTTATTTTTGGTGATTAAATAGTATCTGTTACTATTTAAGGCAGGGTTGTAATCATACACTGTACTGCCCAAATTTAGTACGAGTACAATATCTGTACTAAATACTAGTGTACTTAGTACAAATAGTACTAGTACAGTTCGAAGGGAAATACAGCTGTACAATATGAGTTTAGTACAGTACGTACATATGATAATTGTACAACAATTTTTTCAAAATGATGTAATTAAGCAGATTTTATCAAATATAAATATTGAACACATTTTTTTCGATAAAAAAGTTAAAATGTAACATCTATCAGTTTTTATCATGATGATCGGTGGCGGCCTTTTATTTCATCTCATTTTTTTCATAAAATATGGTGCAAATTTTAAAAAACCATATTATTTTAACAAATAAAAAAAGCGGTAATACCAACAAACTATGCTACTGTAAAGCTTATTATGACAAATATAATGAAAACTATCTGGAGTTAAAAACAATTGTTGATAAAACTGATCGAATTTTAACTCATTTTAAAAACTGTCTAAATTTTGCTAACATGTATAATTAAGAAGAAAAAGAGGAGATATTTTTTCTTGCAATCCAAAAAAAAGTTTTGGGTAAAAGATCAAGTAAGTTCTTCTTTTCTGCTAATTTTTTATTTATTTTGTATGATATTAATGTATCTCTTTTATTTTTATTAGTAAACGATCTATTATTATCCGAAGCAGCATCTGAATCAACTTCAATTAATCGATCATTTAAAATAACACGAAGTAACTCATTCTCATCACTAACTTCCCTATCTACTAGTTGGTCAAATTATGGACCTATAGATAACTTTGTAGCTCAACCCTTTTCTAATAGTGATAAGAAAAAATTTTATTTGCTGTTACTACGGATTACTATTTCCTGTAGTTTTTCTTTATCTTAGGTTAATAATAAAGAAGTAATTGAACTTTTTAGATTTTTGAGTCCCCAAATCAAATTACCTGATAGAAAAACTCTATCAGACAAAATTTTAAATGAAGCAATTACAGACCTTAATAATACAATGATTGAAAAATTAAAATCGGATCATGTAGGTGTTACACTTTCTTTTGATGGATGGGTTAATGTTCGTGAACAAAAATTAATAGGTACAGTTATTATGTCTTCTGATAGACAACCTTATGTTTGGAGAGCAGTGGATGTAAGTGGTGAATGTCAAAAAACTGCTGATGTTATGCTTAAAACAGAGGAAATGATTACTAGTATCAAAGAACTTGATTTAACAATTTTGGCTATTGTAACAGATAGTGCACCAGCCTATAATGCTGCACGGTAAGTAAGTTTATGTTTTTATCATTGCTTAATATTAAAATTACTTAAAAAATTATTTTTTTTTATATTATAGGTTACGTCTTCAAGTTCAGCATCGTAACATTATTTTTTTACCATGTTTCGTATATTAAGTAAATCTATGCGTAGGAGAAATATTCAAAGTATCACCAGAATTCAAAACAGTTTCATCTCAAGTATTAAAAATAGCAGCATATTTTAAAAACGCGAATCATAAATATTTTATCATTCAGTTTTGAAATATTCAAAAAGAAATTTATGAAAAATATATTCAGCCTACAATCCTTGGAGATACACGATAGAACAGTTACCTTACTACTTGTACAAGTTTAAGAGCAACTAAAAATGCTTTACAGGTATTTTTTTATCCTTTATTAATTCAATTTATTTAATTTATGAATTTTCTTTTGTAATGTAATATGTATATTTAATTTGCTTATTACTAATTATATAATTATTTTATAATATTTTATAATATTAGTCTTTAGCTACTAAATTTGAACCATTAAATTTAACCATACGACGTTGACCAGATGATCTATTAAGCATTTCACGTGATATTTATATTATAATTATGAATGAAAATTTTTGGGAATCATTAACAAAACTAGAACAACTTTTATTTTCTTATTGTCACATTCTTAATATTTTACAAACTGATAAAGCACGATTATATAAGGTTTTACATGGATTTGCATATCTTTGTCAGTTTTAGAAAGAGTATAAAGATAGTAATATGGTCAATAGAATTTTAACTCGCTTACAACAAAGATGGGAATTATGGGAACAACCATTATTAATTCTCTCTTGGCTCCTTCATCCATCTTATAAAAAAATTACTTTATATCACCATCCGCATTACAAATTAGTTATTTACATATAGGTAAATGGTTTATAAGGCTTGGACTAGATCTGATCCTCAGACTATTCTTGCAGAATTTGATGAATTTTTTCAAGGAAAGAAATATCCTTTTGATAGTGCAACAATTTCTCAGTTTAATAATAATATTTATAAATATTGGTATTGGATTTGAGAAGCTTATCCAGAGATTGAAACTGTTGCTACGCAAATTTTTGGTATTTGTGTTAATGCTGCTTCATTTGAAAAATTATGAAGCAGTATGGGATTTTATCATACTAAAAATAGAAATAGATTAAAGGTAAATAATACAGTTGATTTTTAATTTAAAATATATATATTTATTTAATTTTTAATTATTTATTTAGTCTAATTGAGTATTAGATATAGCCAAATTATGTGCTAATATGACATATAATCAACATCTTTATCAAGAATTAAATATTATAATTCCTAATATAGAACCACCTTTGATTATACCACAAGAAGGTCAAAATAATACTATCGAAATGAAAATACCATTGATACAAGAAGATGAAGAAGTATTTGATTTAACAGTTAAAAAATGATAATAATGATCAAAATAATGAAGATATAGAAACGATTTCAAAAAAAGTTTAATGATAATTTAGCTGAATGGTTAAAAATACTTGAAGAAATAGAAGAAGAGAAATTGGAATTTTTAGACATAGATATTGAAGATATTGAACATCTGGCTCAAAATCATAATGCAAAATGGAATTTAGATATTATATTCAAAAATGATTTGCATTGTCCTTTCTAATTTGTAATGTCAAAAGATATTACAGTTTGCTAAACAGAAATAAATTGTAATTGCTTGATTTGCGAAATTAAAATGTGATTACGTGATATTATCGTTTTAGTATTTTGTACTAAAATTTTCATTTATTTAGTACAGTACAAGTATATTCTACTTATTAAAATTAGCAAAAAAATATAAACCAATCAAAATTTATAAATATCACATGATTATGTACTAATTTTTATTAATGCTATAGTATAGTACTAGTATTAGTATTGTACTAGTACTATACTAGTACTATACAGTACAATTCCTAACCCTGATTTAAGGGAGATATTTTGCAAAGGGATACTAATGTCAGTGTTATATGGTAGGTAAATAGGATATTAGTTATTATAGTAAGAAAATAAACTCGCATTGGTGAATTGCTACATGAGAAGTTTGTTTTTCAGCTAGTAATTAGATAAAGAGACCAGAATATTTTAAATTTACAGAGACAAATTTTAGCGTTTCAGAATAACCCAATTGTAAATATGGCTGATGCTAGATATTTACCAGTATTAAATTTGATTGCACCTATTCTTACTAAAAATAAGCCATATACAGGCCAAGAACCTCCTGACAATTATTTAATAGGTTTATTCAATCAATATCATTTATACAAAGACATATGACTGTTCTTGAAAATGCAAATGCTAGAGATTTTGATGATGCTATCAAGTATAATATTTATAAAGCTCAGATGGGAGAAAAATATTTACCAGTTCCTGCTCAAGATTCATATAACGGAAATGTTCTTATTAATACTCTAGCTATTTTACATGCTTAAATAAGATCAAAATATTAATGTGAAACAGTAGGTAGTCAGTCAGCAGTTAGCATTCCAGAGGTTAATTCAAGAAAGATTTCTACCTACAAATTCACCAGATACTTATGAAAAAGAATCTAACCTTTATTATTAAATGTAGCAGATGGTGATGCCTAAACTGTAGAATTTCTTAAGAATCACTTGTCAGATGATCTTTATACATGGATGCGAGTTGTTGTTTCTGGTGGTATTGATGCATTCTTTACACAACTTAAAGATATGTGGTTGGAGCGTGCTTCCAATTTAAATGGAAGTCAAAATTATCAGAGTAATTCTTCAGCTGAGATTGATAAGTTAAATTCCAAAATAGCCTCACTTGAAGTACAGTTAGTTCAACTAATTCAGACACAACCCTAAAATAATAATGCCTTAGAAAAGATATATATATGCATAATACGATTGAGAATACCAGTTGATGCATCAAAAGATCTTACATTCTTAGATAATTATATTAATGATGAATTAATAAGGAGATTGGGTGTTGCTAATACTAATTACACTAAGCTTTTCAAAAAATACTCTTAAATGGTTAATGTGATCAAAAAGTTAGCCAAGTATAAATGCTCTAATTATGGTAAAACTAGTTACAATTCTCGTAAGTGTTACAGAAAAAAGAAGAGTAAGTCTAAAAAAGGTAAAGTAAATCTTGTCATTTTAGATTCAGGTTCAGGTTCAGACACTAACTCTAATATATTGTCTGATGACTCTTCTGATTCTGGTTTGAGTTCTTCATCTGAGTTTGAGTCTGAAGCTAATATTAATATTAATATTATTAAGGCAAAAAAAAGTGAAGAAAAAATCAAGTAATTCTTTCTTCCACTAAAAAGAAAAAGCGAAGTTCAAAGTTCCTGTCATAGGATAATCAATTCTGCTTGGAAAATATTATTGAGAAAATTATTGAGAAAGTGCTTAATAAAAAGTTTGGTACTATCATAACCTTTTTTCAATCACAGAATTCTGCTTTCAGAATACTGGTTAATGGTAGAGATGATCTCACTTCAGATACTTCTGAAACTCTAGACTCAGATAGGAAGACGAAATTCTAAATGAACCTATAGAAATTAATTTCATTTAGAAAAAGGATCCCGCCACAGACGTCATTATTGTTAAATGTAAAATTAAGCATCTAGTCATTTTGGATGCTGTAATTGATCCTGATGCTAATTTTGCAATTATGACTGATAATAGCATATCGGACATTTGTATAATTGGCTGTTACACAAAATTATGTAACATCACTTTTTATACAGTTTAAAGTAATACGATCAGTTGCTGAAATCCTGATAATCATTTTATGTAACAATAAAAAAAAAACTGCGATTATATTTCTAAAAGTCCGTTACAACGTTTT